TCCGACCAGCATACGCTTGTTAAGTGTATGAAGGCCCTTATATCTATAGGCCCATATAGCCCATGAGGCTCTCTATATATAGTCCTCTCCACTTGTGGAGTGATTGTCTTCTGAGATCCCAAAGGTTCATAACATGGTACCAAAGCCATGGATTAGGGTTAGGACTAGATTAGTCTGATTCACCCACGATCCATTTTTTTCTCCTTGGGATCCTTTCTCTGATTCGCGCGGCCCGTCGTCGCGCTGGTCATCCGTGCGGCCCGTCGTCGCGCAGCCGATCCATCCTTGACCATCAGCGGTGCGTGCCCGTCGCCGCGCGTGTCTGCTGTGGTGTGGCCCGTCGCCACGTCCGTGCGCCGATTCCGCCCGTCGCGACCCCGACTCCGCCCGTAGCGGACTTCTTCGGTCACCCATCGCAGACTTCTTTCCGCGCCCATCCAGGCGCGCGTCCACGTGTGCGGTGCCGGTTCTTCCTAACCCTTCCCGCCTTTGCACCGTCCGCACATCGCCCGTCGCCCGTGGCTCATCACTCGCGAGGGTCTTTGTCAGCTCATCGCCTCCTCAATCTCCGACTGCCCTGCTCTGCCCGCCTGTTGTTGGATAGAGCAGAGGAGGTCCTGCATGTCCAGAAAACATAGGGGGTCGTCTGCTTCTTATACCACTGTGGTAACAGATCGCTGCTTCCCTCTTCCTTGGACAACTGTTAGCAGCCCTTTCAATCATGTCTTAGCTTAATGCAATTGTCATCAGGATCACTTTAGAGGGTCCAAATTATCCTGAATGGGCTTTCTGTGTGGAAACTACATTAAGGGGTCATGGTTTACTTTTTCATCTAACTGATAATGCCCCTAAGCTTAAGGAGGATGGTAGTAATGCTACTGCAGTAAAAGATTGGGGTATCAATGATGGCAAAGTGATGGCTGCCATGGTCAACAGTACTAAACAATCCTTGATTATGAGTCTTGGTCATCTTTGTGGATCTCGTTTGTCCTCTATGATAAATAAAGGTTATTTAGGTCATACATCTATTGAGTCTAGCTTTCATTGTAAGGGTTGTAAGCTTGGCAAACAAATACAACTTCTTTATCCTTCTAGTGTTTCTCATTCTGCTAGACCTTTTGATCTTATTCATTCTGATGTATGGGGTCCTGCACCTTTTGTGACAAAAGGTGGCCACAAATATTATGTCATTTTTATTGATGACTATTCTCGCTATACATGGATTTATTTCATGAAACATCATTCGCAATTGTGTTCCATTTATCAGTCTTTTGCTCGAATGGTTCACACAATTTCTACTCCCATTAAAGTTCTTCGTTCTGACTCTGGGGGTGAATATTTGTCTACTGCCTTTCGCCAATTTCTATTGTCTGAGGGTACCCTTGCACAGCTCTCTTGTCCAGGTGCTCATGCTCAGAATGGTGTTGTTGAACGAAAACATCGTCATCTCATTGAGACAGCTCGCACACTTCTGATTTCATCATTTGTCCCTTCTCATTTTTGGGGTGAAGCTGTTACCACTGTTGTCTATCTCATCAATAGGCAACCTTCATCCAAATTGTCTGGTCAATGTCCTGGTGAAGTACTTTATGGTACTCCTCCTAGCTATGATCATCTCTGAGTTTTTGGATGCACTTGCTATGTTTTGCTTGCACCTTGTGAGCGCACAAAATTGACTGCACAATCTGTTGAATGTGTTTTTCTAGGGTATAGTCCTGAGCATAAAGGTTACCGATGTTATGACCCTTCTTCTCGTCGCATACGTACCTCTCATGACGTTACCTTTGATGAGGATCGACCCTTCTTTTATAACCCTTCCACCAAGCCTTCATATTATCCCACAGAGTCCACCTCCTTTTTGAGTCTTCCTCCAATTTCATCCAGCGATGATGCCTCTGCACCATCTGATCCTCCTATTTCCATCACCCCACTTGTACCTCCTCCTACAACATTCTCGCCTCCATCTCATTCTTTTTCCAAACCACCTATTATACATGTATTCAGCCATCGTCCTAGAAATCCCTCCCAGCTTTCGTCCAGTTCTACCACCTTGGCTAGTCCTGATGAGCCCGCTGTTGACGCTTCTAATAATAATATTGATGATTCACATGCTGATGAGTTACAAGTTGCTCCACGATATAATCTTCGAGACCGCAGTACCATTCACCCTGTAGAGAAGTATGGTTTTCCCCATGTGCATGCTATTGTTGATGAGCCATCCAATTATCAGGAAGCTTCTCGTATTCCAGAATGACAGCTAGCTATGTCTGAGGAACTTACTGCCCTTGATCGTCAAGGCACTTGGGATCTTGTTCCATTGCCATCGCACACAGTACCTATTACATCTAAGTGGGTATTCAAAGTTAAGACCAAGTCAGATGGCTCTATAGAGAGATATAAGGCCCGTCTTGTTGACAGAGGTTTTCAACAGACTCATGGTCTAGATTATGATGAGACATTTGCCCCTGTTGCTCATATAACAACGGTTCGTACATTAATTGCAGTGGCTGCTTCTTCTTTGCCTATATCTCAAATGGATATCAAGAATACTTTTCTTCATGGTGATTTGACTGAAGAAGTTTTTATGCAACCGCCCCCAGGTGTTGTCGCTCTGTCGTCTTCGTCGTCCTTTATATGGCCTTAAACAGGCTCCTCGTGCTTGGCATGAGCGTTTTGTCTCAGTAATACGGGCTGCTGGTTTTTCACCTAGTGATCATGATCCGGCTTTATTTGTTCATTTGTCACCACGTGGTCGTACGTTGCTTCTTCTATATGTTGATGATATGCTGATTATGGGTGATGATGAGGATCACATTTCCCAAGTGAAACAACAGCTCAGTGCTGAATTTCAGATGTCTGATTTGGGTCCTCTCAGTTATTTCTTAGGCATTGAGGTCAAGCAATCTACTAAGGGATACCATCTTTCTCGCCTAAGTACATACAAGATCTTATTGCTCGCTCAGCATCATCGATAATCGAATCGCCGCAAAACCTATGGATCTTCACTTGCGACTTTGTCCCACCGATGGGGTACTTCTTGAGGATCCTCTTGATATCAACATATTGTGGGCAGCCTTGTTTACCTCAACATCACCACCGGCCTCGATATTGCGCATGCAATCCATATTTTGAGTCAGTTTGTTTGTGCCCCAACTTCAGTTCATTTTGGACATTTACTTCGCGTGCTACGCTACTTACGGGGGACATCATCTCAAAGTTTATTCTATGCGCATGATAGTCCGCTTCAGCTTCATGCTTACTCGGACTCCACTTGGGTGAGTGACCCAACAGATCGATGTTCCATCACTGGATATTGCATTCTTCTTGGCTCTTCTCCTATTGCATGGAAGTCCAAGAAGCAAGCAGTTGTATCTCGCTCTAGTACGGAGGCCGAACTTCGAGCCCTGGCTACTACTACTGTAGAGATTGTATGGCTTCGATGGTTGTTGGCTGATTTAGGCATTTCTTGTGGTGCTGCCACACCTCTTCTCTATGATAATACAGGAGCCATACAAATTGCTAATGATCCTGTGTAGCATGAACTTACAAAGCATATTGGTGTGGATGCCTTCTTTACTCGGTCTCATTGTCATCAGAAAACTATCTCTCCAGTATGTGCCTTCGGAATTGCAATTGGCTAACTTTTTCACTAAAGCACAAACTCGAGAGCAGCATCGGCTTCACTTGATCAAACTCAATGCTTCAAATCCTCCGCTTTCACCTTGAGTTTGAAGGGGGGTGTTAAGTGTATGAAGGCCCTTATATCTATAGGCCCATATAGCCCATGAGGCTCTCTATATATAGTCCTCTCCACCTATGGAGTGATTGTCTTCTGAGATCCCAAAGGTTCGTAACAACACTCTCGCGGTGGAACGGCACCGAAGCGAGGCGGTGGCCGGCAAGGACGTGGCACTTGAGCTCCGAGATGTCGAAGCAGCGGAAGGAGCGGACAGGTGCCTATGTGGCAAGGCCACGTCATATGCTGGTGCTGGCGTGGCGGGTTTTGGACCATTGGTGTGCGACGGCAATAGATTAGGAACCTTTATGGTAGCTTTTTTAGTTTGAGGACCTAGATGAGAATGCCCCAAAAGTTTAAGGACCCACCCTGCATTTTACTCGTAAATTAAACTAGTGGAAACAAGGCTCAAATGTTAAGTGGCATGCAACTATAACTAGAACGTTATGCTGCATGTTGGGAACCAAACACTATTACTCATCCTATGATATGAGCGTCTTCATGCCATACCATTCCCAAAGTCCGATAGCATAAGTCTTGTGCACATTTAATCTGTTCGCTGCGGCTTCGCCACAGCCACAGCCGCGGCTCCTACATGAGAGGAATGAGCAGCCAAAGCAGCTGCAACAGCAGCTGTAAAAAAGTGGTACCGAACCAGCTTTGTTTAGTCCCTATGTTTGACCACCCCCACCCCCCCTGCTGTTGTTCCTGCGTGTTGATTGTTGACATCAGGGGAGTAGTTGGTATGCAGCCATGCTGCAAGTTGTAGCACAGTAGCTTACTAGGGCTCCTCACCTTGTTTCTATATCAATGTAAAGGTGAGGCTAGCTGTGGAGATCATCCCAGCAGCACTACACCATTGTGTTCGTGCCTTGTTTGTGTGACAAAATCAAGATCTAGCAGTGCCAGTTATCCATCAGTAACACCACTCATTGAGTAAGTCAATAATGGCCCAGAATAGAGGCAACGGTGCACAGTGGAGACGAGCATCACAAGTGACCAAGAGGAAGCCATGGAGTGGGGTGACAGTTCTTAATTCTCACTAGGTTTCACTAGTCAATACATGATGACTAGCTGCTCTAAATTCTAATTGAACATTGAAAATGAGCATGGAGCATACAACATAATGCTAGAAAACTTTTGAAAGTAACCCAAAGATATTGACATCAAGATAATAGTTCTAAAAGATCATACTTTCACATTCTCTAATAATCCACTTCTTCATGCAGTACGGAAACACAAGGCTTGCTTTGGTTTTATATACCTGATCCTTCAACTGATTAAGTAGTGTGCGACCAATCAACCCAGGTCCAATGATTCCAACAGCCAGTGTGGTTTTGGAGAGGAAGAACCTTGAGTGGGCAGCCCTCAGAGCCCGCACGCAGTCTTCTTGCTTCAGTACAACAGTAATGTTGTACTCACTGCAACCTTGAGCTATTGCCCTTACATTAATATTTGCCTGGATCCATCATTTTCATGGGATATTAGCACCGCTACCATGAAAAATATCTCAAGTACCAAATTTAGAGTGCAGAATACCTTAGCTAGTGCATCAAAAAGGGTCGCGCTGACTCCAGGTGTACTTGCCATCCTCAGGCCGACAGCAGCAAGGATGCTACAATTATGAATGACTTCAACCTGAGAAATAGAACCAAAGCAAGTCAAGATTGTACTCACATATTGAGATGTTATCCAACTCTATATATACAGATGTTCATATATGATAATATGAACAAAAAAAGAAAAAAGAACAAAGCAGCTACAGTCAGTAAACTCCAAACAACTTGGCCTCCTGCCCTTTTTAGTGTTAGAACCAAAACAAAGGTTTGGGGCTGAATTTCAGATTTCATTAGCCATGCCACAACTATGGCAGGTTGGGGATACATATAAGATAGCTTGCTTAAGCCTTAAGAAAGCTACAACATATTCTAGAGATGCTAAAGTAGATGCTAGGGATAAATATAAGGGCTGACACAGCCACCAACTACTCTAGATAATTATCCTAAGTAGAAAAGGACAAGACTTATAGCTGTCATTCTCCCCCTAAGTCTTGTGTGGCGCCTTCTGGGGAATTTGAACCATCCCAATCCTGGCGCGAAGCTCATGGAACTTGACCCGCCCAAGGGACTTGGTGAGAAGGTCGGCGAGCTGATCCTGGGTGTTGATGTAGCCGGCCTTGATGCTCCCCTCATCCAAGCAGCTCCTAATGAAGTGGTTCTTGATTCGGATATGCTTGCTGCGCTCATGGAAGACGGGGTTCTTCGCCATGGCCTGAGCTCCACTGCTTCTGCGTCTCTGCCCAGGAAATCGCCTAGCAGCCGAGCCAACCAGAGAGCTTGAGTCGAAGCGGTTGTGGCAGCGATGTACTCCGACTGCCAGCTGATTAGACACTTGCCGAGGAAGAATAGCGTCCCGCTGGAGCTCTTGCTTGTGTCGATGTCACCGGCGACATCGCTGTCGCTGTACCCGATGAAGTGCTCCGCACTGGGACACCTCGGGTAGTGCAAGCCGTAGTCGGAAGTGCCCGCGAGGTAGCGGAGGATCCTCTTGACGGCCTACTCGTGCTCCGTCGTCGGTCGCTGCATGAACCGACTGACGTAGCCAACGGCGAACGTGACAGTTAAAAGTCTTGTCCTTATCTACTTAGGATAATTATCTAGAGTAGTTGGCGGCTGTGTCAGCCCTTATCTTTATCCCTAACATCTACTTTAGCATCTCTAGAATATGCTGTAGCTTTCTTAAGGCTCAAGGAAGCTATCCTATATGTATCCCCAACCAACCATAGTTGTGGCATGGCTAATGAAATCTGAAATTCAGCCCCAAACCTATGTTTTGGTTCTAACAAATGATATCTAGAGCCTAAGTTCATCTGGGTTATACCTTTACCCCATCCCAATCCGTCGCCATGTCTCTCCACTCCTCGTCCTCTTCCTCCAACCGTTCCACCACCTCCAGCATACGTGCTACAGCAGCTGCAGTAGCCAGGCAGGAGGAGGCGGCCAAGCGTGCAACAGCAGCGAAGCGGGCGGCTCGCATCGCCCAGGCGGAGCTTGCTGCGGCGCGTGCGGCTGAAGCCGCCCACCAGGCAGCAGCGGAGGCGCGGGAGGTTGCAGCAGCAGCGGAGGCGCTCCATGCAGAGGCGGACGCGGGCGAGCAGGAGGACTACGGCGCCCGGGCGGGCGCGTCGGATCCAGGAGCGGCGGCGACTGCGGCTCTGAGCCGCGAAGCGGACGCCGAGCGGGCCTGGCCCGACGTTGGCGGCCTGGGCAGACGTGGTGGACGTGAGGCTGGCGACCGCGACGGCTTCAACAACCGACGCCGACGCGACGCGGGCCGCTTCGACGGACGACGCCGCGACTTCGACCGAGACGAGCTGGCGGCACGCGACGCCAATGCCTGGCTGGAGCGGGAGGAGCGGCGTGAGGCGCGGGACCTGGGCGGACGGGACACTGGCACGCGGAGCCCTCACAGGCAGCGCGCCTCCCCTTCCCCAGACCGGCGACGTGGTCGCCGTGGCCGGCCCAGCTCCCCTCCCGTCGTGCAAACCGTCGTCAAGGACGCCGGCGGCGGATGGCCCTTGCTCACCAAGACCAACTACGCCGAGTGGTCCATGGTGATGAAGGTGAAGATGCAGGCACGGCGCATGTGGGATGCGGTACGGTACGGCGACGCCGACTTCGACGAGGATCGGCGGGCACTGGAGGCGCGTCTTGCTACTGTTCCGACGGAGATGCACTCCTCCCTCGCGAACAAGCGGACCGCCAAGGACGCCTGGGATGCCATCGTCGCGCATTGGCAGCGACCGAGCTCGCAGGTCCACGCTTCAGAAGCTGCGTCAGGACTGGGAGAACCTGGTTTCAAGCCAGGTGAGGACGTCGATGACTTCGCCCTCCGCCTCAACACCCTGATGCAGTAGTTGGCGCGTTACGGCGACAACGACATCGACGAGGAGAGAGCTGTCGAGAAGTTCCTCCGCGTCGTCCCCAAGAAGTACTCGCAGGTCGCCATCGCGATCGAGATGTTGTTGGACTTCTCCGAGCAGTCGATCGAGGAGGTGACGGGTCGCCTCAAGGCCGTCGACAACCACGAGCAGCTACCTCCCTCAGAGCGGGTCACCATCGGTGGCAAGCTTCTCTTCACCGAGGAGCAATGGCTCGCCCGCCAGCAGGAGCGGAAGAAGGGGGAGGCCTCGGGTTCTTCAACTTTGGGTTCGTTGAGCAGCCGCAAGCGTCGGCCGCGCAAGTGGGATAAGGCGCGTGGTGGCGCTCCTGGCGGCGCCGACGGCGAGCGCAAGGCTACCCGTCGACGACACCTGCAACAATTGCGGGAGGACCAGACACTGGGCCAAGGACTACCGGCAGGCGAAGCGCAGCGGTCAGGCACACGTCACGCAAGCGCAGGAGGGTGACAAGCCGGCTCTGTTCTTGGTACACGGGAGCTTTGAGCCGCACTCCTCTCCCGCGCCGGCCGCCGTCGCGCTCCTCCACCTCGACGAGCCGCGGGCTCACGTCTTCCTCGGCAACAGGTCCGGCGGCGACAAGATCGACGGGTGGTACCACGACACCGGCGCCACCCACCACATGACCGGGCGGCGGGAGTTCTCTGAGCTCGACTCCGGCGTTCGAGGCTCCGTCAAGTTCGGGGACGCCTCCATGGAGATCAAGGGCGTCGGCTCCGTCGTCTCAACCGCCAAGACCGGTGAGCACCGACTGCTCAACGGTGTCTACTACATCCCCGCGCTGAGGAACTCCATCATCAGCCTGGGACAACAGGATGAGAACGGCTCGCGCGTGGAGATCGAACACGAGGTCTTGCGTATCTGGGATCGCCATCGTCGCCTTCTCGTCAAGGTGAACAGAGGCCCCAACTGCCTTTACGTCCTCCACGTGCAGGTGGCGCAGCCCGTGTGTCCTGCAGCCCGCCGCGACGATGACTCCTGGCGGTGGCACGAGCGCTTTGGGCACCTCAACTTCGAGGCCCTGAAGCAGCTCGGCAACAAGGAGATGGTGCAGGGCATGCCGCGAGTCGAGCACGTGGAGCAGTTCTACGACACCTGCGTCCTCACCAAGCAGCGGCGGCTCCCCTTCCCCCGCCAGGCGAGCTTCCGCGCCAAGGAGAAGCTGGAGCTCGTGCACGGTGACCTCTGCGGCCCCATGACACCAGCCACACCTGGAGGCCGGCGCTTCTTCCTGCTCCTCGTCGACGACGTGTCCCGCTACATGTGGGTGGTCCTGCTCGACACCAAGGCGGCGACTGCGGACGCCATCAAACGCCATCAAGCTACTATGGAGTGCGGCCGCAAGCTTCGGGTGCTACGCACCGACAACGGTGGCGAGTTCACGGCGACTGAGTTCGCGACGTACTGCGCCGACAAGGGGATCCAGCGCCACTTCTCCGCGCCCGTCGCGAACCCAGCCGCCATAAACTCGCCGCCGTTATCGGTGCGTAACACCCGAAGCTTGCGGCCGCACTCCACAGCAGCTTGATGGCACTTGATGGCGTCCGCAGCCGCTGCCTTGGTGTCGAGCAGGACCGCCCACATGTAGCGGGACACTACGTCGACGAGGAGCAAGAAGTAGCGCCGGCCTCCAGGTGTGGCCGGTGTCACGATGCCACAGAGGTCACCGTGCATGAGCTCCCGGCTTTCTCCTGACGCGAAGCTCGCTTTGGCGGGGAAGCGGGCCGCCGCCACTGGGAGGACGCAGTGTCGCAGAATCGCTCCACGTGCTCGACTCACAAAGATGCCCTCGCACCATCTCCTTGTTGCCGAGCTGCTTCAGGGCCTCGAAGTTGAGGTGCCCAAAGCGCTCGTGCCACCGCCAGGAGTCGTCGTCGCGGCGGGCTGCAAGACACACGGGATGCGCCACCAGGAGCGCCACCACACGCCTTATCCCGCTTGCGCGGCCGACGCTTGCGGCTACTCGACGAACCCGAAGCTGAAGAACCCGAGGCCTCCCCCTTCTTCCGCTCCCGCTGGCGGGCGAGCCACTGCTCCACGGTGAAGAGAAGCTTGCCACTGATGGTGACCGGATCTGTGGGAGGTAGCTGCTCGCGGTTGTCAACAGCCTTGAGGCGACGTGTCACCTCCTCGATTGACAGCTCGGAGAAGTCCAGCAACATCTCGATCGCGATGGCGACCTGCGAGTACTTCTTGGGGACGACGCGGAGGAACTTCTCGACAGCTCTATCCTCATCGATGTCGTTGTCGCCATACCGCGCCAACTGCTGCATCAGGGTGTTGAGGCGGAGAGCGAAGTCGTCGACGTCCTCAGCCGGCTTAAAAGCCAGGTTCTCCCACTCCTGACGCAGCTTCTGAAGCGTAGACCTACGGGCGCAGTCGCTGCCAATGCGTGCCGCGGAGATGGCGTCCCAAACGTCCTTGGCGGTCCGCATGTTCATGAGGGAGGAGTACATCTCCGTCGGAACAGCAGCAAGAAGCGCATCCAGTGCCCGCTGGTCCTCGTCGAAGTCGGTGTCGCCGTACCGTACCGCATCCCACATGCGTCGCACCTGCATCTTCACCTTCATCACCATGGACCACTCAGCATAGTTGGTCTTCGTGAGCATGGGCCATCCGCCGCCGGCGTCCTTGACGATGGTCTGCACGACGGGAGGGGAGCCGGGCCGGCCACGGCTACTATGGCGCCGGTCAGGGGAAGGGGAGGCGCGCTGCCTGTGAGGGCTCCGCGTGCCAGCATCCCATCCGCCCAGGTCCCGCGCCTCGCGACGCTCCTCCCGCTCTAGCCAGTCGTTGGCGTCGCGTGCCGCCCGCTCGTCCCGGTCGAAGTCGCGGCGTCGTCCGTCGATGCGACCCGCGTCACGTCCGCGTCGGTTGTCGAAGCCGTCACGGTCGCCAGCCTCACGTCCACCACGTCCGCCTAGGCCGCCCGCGTCGGACCAGGCCCGCTCGGCGTCCGCTCCACGGCGCAGAGCCGCAGCCAACGCCGCTCTTGCATCCGACGCGCCCGCCTGGGCGCTGTAGTCCTCCTGCTCGCCCGTGTCTGCCTCCGCACAGAGCGCAGTCGCTGCTGCTACAGCCTCCCGCGCCTCCGTTGCTGCCTGGTGGGCGGCTTCAGCCGCAGCAAGCTCCGCCTGGGCGATGCGAGCCGCGCAGCTCCGCTGCTGCAGCACACTCGGCCGCCGCCGCCTCGCACCTGGCTGTTGCAGCCGCTGCAGCACGTATGCTGGAGGTGGTGGAACGGTTGGAGGAAGAGGATGAGGAGTGGAGAGACATGGCAACGGATTGGGATGGGGTAAAGGTAGAACCCAGATGAACTTAGGCTCTAGATACCATTTGTTAGAACCAAAACACAGGTTTGGGGCTGAATTTCATATTTCATTAGCCATGCCACAACTATGGCAGGTTAGGGATACATATAGGATAGCTTGCTTGAGCCTTAAGAAAGCTTGCTTGAGCCTTAAGAAAGCTACAACATATTCTAGAGATACTAAAGTAGATGCTAAGGTTAAAGATAAGGGCTGACACAGCCTCCAACTATTCTAGATAATTATCCTAAGTAGATAAGGACAAGACTTATAGCTGTCATCTACAATATGACCATAGAATCTTCTGAGCCTATATTCCAGTGTATACTGTATAGCATTCCTGATTTCTCAAAAACGTTACTTCTAGCATGACTTTTAAGTCCTTATAATATAAAGTGTCCATGAAGACTCACTACAGTGAAGGTCACAGAAAATAAATATTTTGCACAGCTGACACTATAAAGCTAAGTTGTCTCTGAAGTATAAACCAGAAAACTGCAATATGTATCATCATGCTTCCCTGACATTCATGCTTACTATTAATATGCTTACTATTCATTCTAAAATCATATGGTACCAAGGTACTAAAAATTGCAGACTTAAGTATAGTTTATTTAGGCTAGTGTAGCATATGTATGTTGATCTCAAGGATATCTAAATTCTATTCAGGGTAAATATTATTTTAAAGATTAACAAAAAAATTACAATCGGCATTATTTGTTTGTCACAACTAGTGCAAAAAAAGGGCGTACCCAGTGCAGAGAGCTCCCGCTCTGTGCGGGGTTTGGGGAAGGGTGTCAGTGGCAAGCCTTACCCTCGCCTGTGCAATGCGAGGAGACTACGACTCGAACCCAGGACCTTCCGGTCACAGGCGGTAAGACTCTACCGCTTGCACCAGGCCCGCCCTTCTTGTCACAACTAGTGCAACAACCCAAAAAACAAATCTTAGATGGTAAATATTAGATAATCTTAGATGGACAAAACTAGTGCAACAACCCAAAAAACAACATCATGATTCATGAATATACCTTAGATAACCTCCCTGCTGCCAATGCTTCACGAAACCTAGCATGCAAGACTGCAGAAACTGATGCAACTTCCTTTTCTGGTACAGCAAAGCACACAGAGTGTTCACTGCTAGCCTGCAGATATGTTGCAGTCAGGAAGAAGCTTCCTCGTTGGCAGATAAAAATATGATGACAACACAGTACTCCCTCCTTCCCAGTTTACAAGGATCAGTTTGACTTAGCATGGTCTCTTAAGTTACAATTTGACCATTCATTTATCTTATATTGTTTATAAACATCAAATTAAAATTACAAGAAAGTATGTTTTATTATAAATCTAATAATAAGTTTGATTACAAATCTAATAATATCAATTTTGTATAATAAAATTTGTAGATTGTTAAGCAAATTATTGATCAAAGGTTATAATATATGAATCTTGATATACATGCACGCCTTATGAACTAAGGGTCTGATTTGTCGTTTGCATTAGCCTTAGCCTGCAGCATAACTTAAGCCAGCATAAACGTATGCAGTATCTTGGTGGTTGTTTGCAATAGCTTTAGCCTGCAGCCTATCTTAAGCCAGCGTAAATGTATGTAGTATCTTGGTGTTTGTTGTTCTGCATAGGCAAACAGCATTTAATAAAATTGTGTTTAGTTGTTTATATTTTGTTGTATGTAGTCATCTCCATGTTCTAGTTGAGAGGTCTCATATTTCCAATAAGAGGTATGGGGATGAAAATATTTCATTTTTGTGTGTATCAGCTTGTGCAAACCTGCATTGTCTAATACAACCTAATTTGGCATACAAGCTAATTCAGCATTGGGCTGCTTTGAGCACTGTGCAACCATGCATGACAGTCTATGTAGACAGCCAAACACAAGCAAATTGTACTGCATAAGTCTAGATACAGGCTAATACAGGCAACAATCAGACCCTCTGAGTGGAGGGAGTATATACCTGCGATATCATGATAACATTTGCTCCAACATCCTTCACAGCACCAAATATGGCATTTGCCGTACCTGGGACACCAGCCATTCCCGTCCTGAATCAGAGATTAAGGTAATGTTAAGGAAATATAAGAAATTAGTCCAGATAATTACAAATCTGGAGCATCTGGCGGTGCTTCATGACCATTCTATTATCCACATGCTAAGCGCTAACCTGTTAAGGTCTTCCCATATCCACATTCATTTGTTATTAGAAAATTACTGCATCTCGAAGTAAGAAAAAGTACAAAAAATTCTTCATTACAGATCATCACAGATAGTTATGGCTTACATTTATCAGACTTACCCTTCGACATTAACCAAAGCCAATTTATCTATAGTTGCAAAAGCTTTGACACAAGCCTCCAAATCACCGTTTTCATTAGCAGGCTGTTGACAGATCATAGTTCCAGGAGCAGAAGTATTGAATATGTTCCTTATAACAATAGGGATATTATATTTCATCACAGGTATAATAGTACGTGGATGCAAGACGTTTGCCCCAAAATATGACTGCATAAGAAAAGAAATTCAGGTTAGTTACGAGATACTAAAGCCAGCACAGATCCAATAACAACAAGCATAACAGTAGTTTGAGCACCAACGCTTCCCACGATTGCTAGGCCAGTGTAGTAAGCACCAAAAAAAGCCTAGCTCCATGGCAGCGTTTAAGCTGATGAACCATTGTTATCAAGGAAAAGCCAAGCGTGCAACATTCAGCTTCACTCATGTACAATGGCTCTTTAATTAAATAATTAATCATACAAATGCCAACGGAAGAAGCCTAACAGTAGAGAAATTACCATTTCCCAGGCCTCCTGATATGACAATGTGCTTAAAATCACAGCCTCACTAACTGCATTAATAAGATACTCATCAGATAGATACTCAAAATGGACATATTGTACCAACAATAACAAGATTATATAAACTTGTATAGACAGAAAAATGAAATCTAAGGGTCTGTATTTGATTAAATAAGATATACATGGGAATCTTTGTGCAGTGGTAGGCCGACTATGTTTTTTCTTGTCACATGCTAGACCCCCAATTGGTTCCCAAACTTGGAAAAAAGGAAAAACTAATAGAATAATACAGCAGCCTTTCCAAGTGGTTCCCAATTCTCTTCCACTTTACTGGGATGTAACCAGACTACTAGATAGATTTGATTTGGTAGATTTCTTTTGGGAAAAAAAAAACTACCTGTTTTTGGCATATGCATAAAAAGAAACATTTAAGGGCATGAATCATAAAAGTATATATTTCAGGATACACATTTTAAAAACTACAGGTTTTAGAATTTCCATCACCTCTGACCCATCATAGCAAAGGTAGCCCACATGTCAGCATTACATTATGGCTTCAGTTATGTTGTGTTCTGTTGAGTTGACAAGCGGGCCATCCTGTCAGATGGGGTTGCAAATGACAAAAAACTCTAAAATCTGTAGGGTTTTCTTATAATGTGTAGACTTAAGTAAATATTAGTTAACCTGTCATGATCGGCAAGACATACACCAGGAGGAGACACCCGAATAAGGCAACAGGCTAATTGTTTAGTGAAGAGCAGAAGCCTAGCTGTAATAGATTCAATTTAGATGAATAGCAAGGTTCATGGGCCAAGCCCATTAGCAATTGTAAACCCCCTTATATATATGAGGGAGAACAGTAATGAGAAGGCAAGCAAGTATAGGGTTTAACCCTTATCTCTTTCCCCTCTCTCCTCTCTCTTCTCAGCCGCCTTACCCCCATCTCTCTGCGTGCTCGCGACCGCCGCCGCCGACTGCAGCCCCGCTGCCTTCAGTCCCCTGCCAGCCACGGCCGGCCTCCCCGACGCCGCGGCCTGGGCGCGGCCTTCCCTCAGCCGGCCGCCGATCACCCCCAGACGGCCACCTGCAGCCCGGGGCGCCCTGAGGGCTACCACGACGCGTCAGGAGATAAGACGCGTGACAACTTGGTATCCAGAGCCATGTTGTGATCAAATCCCATGGAGGATATTCGCAACGTCACCGATCGCTGGTTGAAAAGGTTCGAAATTTTTTTTGAGGAACGCAACAAGTCTTCAGCCTCAACCCAAGCAAATCAGGAGGGACAGATATATGTTACCCCTCCAAAGAGAACACTACTGCCGACTGAACAACCAAGAGTCCACGCACTCAACTCACCAGAAACAATGGACAACCTACTGAACAGTTTTGTGCACCTCTTCCAGGATCCCCAAGGGCTACCACCACAGAGGAGGTATGACAACCGCATCCATTTAAAAGATCCAACCAAACCAACGGCTGTTCGACCCTACTGATATCCACAACTTCAGAAAGACGAATTTGAAAAGCAGTGCCACAGCATGCTGGCACAGGAAATCATAAGGTACAGCACATCGCCTTTTTCATCACCAGTATTGCTGGTCAAAAAGCACGATGGATCATGGCGCTTCTGTGTGGATTACCGGGCCCTCAACGATAACACCTTGAAAGACAAGTTCCCAATCCCTGTCATCGATGAATTATTGGATGAACTCGAAGGAGCTAAATTCTTTACCAAACTAGATCTGAGATCAGGATATCATCAGGTACGCATGCATCCGGATGACATTGAAAAAATAGCATTCAGACCCATCACGGCCATTGAGTTCCTAGTAATACCGTTCGGCCTATGCAACGCCCCCTCAACTTTTCAAGCTCTTATGAATGACATACTTAGCCCCTACCTTCGGAAATTTGTGCTGGTTTTCTTCAACGATATATTGATTTTTACAGCAAAACATGGGATCATCATCTCCAGCATATTCGGCAAGTCCTCACCATCTTACAATCGATTGCAGTTTTTCTGAGAAAATCCGAATGCTTGTCTGGCCAAACTACAGTCGGTTACTTGGGCCACATTATATCGGATAAAGGCATTGCTGTGGATCCAGAAAAGATCAACGCTATTACCTCCTGGCCACAACCTGCCACAATAAAACAACTCAGAGGTTTCTTGGGACTTGCAGGATACTACAGGAAATTCATCAAAGATTTTGGCACCATAGCCAGACCCCTAACACAGTTGTTAAAGGACAACTTCCTGTGGTCAGCATCAGCATTCACGTCCTTCCAACAACTGAAACTGTTCTGTCCACAGCCCCGGTTTTGCAACTCCCTGACTTTAACAGACCATTCATTATGGAATGTGATGCATCATCCACAGGTTTCAGCGCAGTGTTACATCAAGGTGCAGGACCAATAGCTTTCTTTAGCCGTATGATTACTCCGCGACACTCTAAACTGGCAGCCTATGAAAGGGAGTTGATCGGTTTGGTCACCGCAGTTAAACATTGGAGGCCATACCTATGGGGGCGCACCTTCACCATTCGATCAGACCACTACAGCTTGAAATATATCTTGGACCAAAGCCTCTCAACAATACCACAGCACCAATGGGTAAGCAAGCTACTGGGATATGACTTCACAGTTGAATTTAAACCAGGCAAACAGAACACGGTGGCAGACACTCTATCCAGACGAGATGCAACAGAACCATCACTGCTAGCACTCTCAGAAGTCACCTTCCCAATTTTTTAGCAACTAAAAGCTGAGATAGCGGACACTGAAGACAACAGCAAACTAGTGACAGCTATCATCAATGGACATGCATCTCCGACATGGAGCTTCGAGGACGGTCTCATCCTCTACAAAAAAGCAGGTACATATTCCCTCAACATCTCCAATTTTGCAAGATATACTCTATGCCATCCATGATGCTACACATGAGGGATTGAAGAAAACACTACACCGATTTCGTCAAACCTTCCACACTTACAAAGCCAAACAGACGATTCAACAGTTTGTCAACGACTATGGTATGCCAACGCAACAAAACAAAACGCCTACACCCCGCATGATTACTTCGACACATGCCAATTCCAGAGCAAATTTGGGAGGACATATCTATGGATTTTATTGAGGCATTACCAAAGGTGGGAGGTAAATCTGTTTTCCTCACAGTGGTGGACCGCTTATCTAAATATGCCCACTTCATTCCTCTGACACATCCATATTCAGCAACGACAGTGGCCCAAAGCTTCTTCTCTGAAATTGTGAAATTGCATGGACTGTCCCGTTCAATTGTCAGTGACAGGGATGTGGTATTTACTAGTAGATTCTGGAAAGAACTATTCCGACTCTCAGCAGTAAAACTACAAATGACATCAGCCTACCACCCTCAATCAGATGGATAATCAGAGGTGGTCAACAAAGTAATCACTATGTATCTCAGATGTTTAAAAGGAGAAAAACCAAGGGAGTGGATCAGATGGCTACCATGGGCGAAATTTTGCTACAACACATCCTATCAAACGCCAATCCGTACAACACCATTTAAATTGGTTTATGGGCGAGACCCACCACAATGGAAAACCTACAGCCCAGGGGAGACAACAATTCAGTCAGTGGATGACATGTTAACTGAACGGGACAACATTCTGGTAAAAACCAAACTTCGCTTACAGCAATCTCAGGATTACTACACCAAACACTATACGGAAACATGTTCACCAGACCTTCCAGATAGGAGACTGGGTGTGGCTCAAATTAATGGCCCAATCGGCAGTAGCCATCTCCACCCTCCAAAAAGGCAAGTTGGCTCCCAGATACTTCGGCCCATATCAAATCAGTGAACGAAATAGGTTCAGTCGCCTGCCGATTGGATTTACCCTCAGACACATGCATCCATAATGCCTTTCATGTGAGCGTGCTCAAAAAGTACATCGGATCACCACCATCAACACCACCGCAAATGCCAACAATTCACAATGGGGCTGCAGTTCCAGAACCAGAACTTATGCTGAAATCTAGACTACATAGAGGACACCTCCAGGTCTTAATCAAGTGGAAACATCAACCATCTGCAGAATCATCATGGGAAGACGCCGAGCTCTTCCAGAAACTTTATCCAACGTTTCAGCTCGAGGACGAGCTGATTCTCCAGGCGGGGAGAGATGTCATGATCGGCAAGACATACACCAGGAGGAGACACCCGAATAAGGCAACAGGCTAATTGTTTAGTGTGGGGCATAAGCCCAGCTGTTATAGATTCAATTTAGATGAATAGCAAGGTTCATGGGCCAAGCACATTAGCAATGTAAACCCCCTTATATATATGAGGGAGAACAGTAATGAGAAGGTAAGCAAGTTTAGGGTTTAACCCTTATCTCTTTCCCCTCTCTCCTCTCTCTCTCTCAGCCGCCTTTACCCAACCTCTCTGCGCGCTCGCGACCGCCGCCGCTGACTGCAGCCCCGCTGCTGCCACTCCCCTGCCAGCCACAGCCGGCCTCCCAAACGCCGCGGCCTAGGCCCGGCCTTCCCTCAGTCAGCCACCGATCACCCCCAGCCGGCCGTCCGCCTGCAGCGGCCCTGCCCAGCCGGCCACCTGCAGCCTGAGGCGCCCTGAGGGCTACCACGACGCTTCAGGAGATAAGACGTGTGACATAACTTATAGTTTTTTAAAAATATTATTTTAGAAATAATGCCATGATGTCAAATCATCTCTGTGTAGCCCGATAGCCTCCTGAATATGCAGATTTCTAGTTGCAGGATCATTCGGTGTTCCTTCAATGTACTGCAAATAGACAGATGTTGGAGAAATTCTAGCTGGCAGCATAGAACTGGAAATGGATTGAACATGTCATGTATGTGTATCATCTATGCTAGCATCTAACATGACAAGCAAGCAAAAAATCATTGAATAGTTTCAAACTGAAGAAGAAATTATCCGGGATGAGTACCTTTTCTGGGGTCTGCACTAAATACCCCATCAACATCAGTCCAGATGGTCACCTGGCGAGCCTTAACAAGGGAACCAATTATGGCTGCAGAGAAATCACTTCCATCTCTTTTTAAGGTTGTTGGGATGTTTTCAGGTGTACTCGCAATAAACCCAGTAGCAATTATTGTCTCAGCCGGACATTGAGAAAACCATTGTTCAAGTCGTTTTTCTGATTCCAAATAGTCAGGATCTACCTGGTTGGCTCCTGACGGGTTCACAACTAGAACTTCCCTTGTATCCATCCAACTGCATGGTGTTCCAGACTGCACATGGTAAGACATTTCGTCATAAGTCACTAATTTTGAAGTAAAACTTCTGTATTACATATTTGTGCACATCTAATACATTGCAGAGGTAAAGTTATAATTTGAATATGAAACTTATATAGCTCCACGACCATGCTACTTGTACTTTGGAGCAAGAAAATAACAGCCGAGGTCTCCTCTTTTAGAACAAATGTTTGCTAGGTGGTCGACATGATTTTACTATTAAAAATCATAAAAAGGTCAGTAAGCATAACGTACAGGCTCTGAAATGATGCATTTATCAAGATTTGTATAAACAGTGGCATAGCTTCGTAGAGACCTCAAAGACACCTCATCTTAAGAACATATACTTAGTTGGCCAAAGCTCAGCCCTTAAGAGGGTAACAGAATTACTTGGTCGATAACAATGCCCAGGATAGCTTTGTTTTCTCGAACTACGCAGGAGAGTTGTGTGTCGTTTTTTTTTTTCATGAACAACGCATGAGAGTTGTGTGTCATTTCATTAAGATAGGAAAAAACACAGGTACAACGAGTAGAGCAGAAAGCCCAACCCAAGCACAAACACACCCCCACAACCAAACACTCCCCCACCCCCACCCACACACACACTGGTTTAAAGACGCACCACAGGAAATAAAACAAGGCTTCACCAAAGACCACCCAAAAGCCTAAATGGAGCTGGGAAGCACCAGCCCAGCACTAAATGGTGCTTTCAAAAGGCACTGTCTGAAGGAGAGCCTGAAGGTTTGGTTGCATCTCCTTAGGCACTCCTCTGATCATTATGATCATCCCACCCCCCACCCCCCAAACAGCACCCCACACGGTTTAGCCAAAAACGGCACTCTAGAAAATAAAAAAGGAAAACACGACCAGCAGCCTCAAACAACTAAAGACCTAAGGGTCCAGGAACAGCGACCTAGCAAGGAACTCATGTAATGCCCAGGATAGCTTAAATAAGCCCTATTGAGCCTTTGACGTACTTAAATACTTTATATTTCAATTTCTTCAATCGCGCTAATGCTCAAGAAAGAATATGATACAGTAATATCCCAGGAGAGAAGGTGCATATATTACCAAAACTTTGAAAACTACGAACATGACTTGCTCTTTCAAGTACAAATGAAGACTCAGCTCATTAATAATCTACGAGCGACCTAGCCAGAAGCCTATGCCATGCGGATGCCCCTGCCAAGCACCACAGAGCACCCTCATTGGCAACCGAATGAAGCTGCATCTCTATGTTAGGCCTAGCACCCTCAAACACACAAGCATTTCGGTGCTTCCATATTTCCCAAGCCACTAGTATGATAAGAGTATTAAGGCCGTTATGCTCAACTCTGGGAACAGCCTTTATAGTACAACCTACAACACCACCAGCTGAAGAAATGATTGTTCATTCCCGGTGGAGCAAAAGCTAGCAGGTCCAGTCTCTGCAAAATTAAAGCCCAAGCTAGCCTACAAGAGGTAAGTTATAGATACATGTGCCATGACTAAACTACGAACGTGATTTGGTCCTTCCAGTACAAATGAAGCTACAAGCGGTAAAAGTTATACATACATGTGTTAAACTTTAGTAAGCTATATAGGCACAATGTTCTACAGAAGAATAGTAATTCATTGCCATGTAATTTCCCCAATTCTTTTGTCCAAATTTCAGTTTGTACCTTCTGTATTGCATATGATAACATTTGAGCAGACCATAACTCTCCATGACCAACAACAAAATCAGAGAAAGACTCTGTTGCATGCCCAGCTGCAAAAAAGAAAAGTAATATCAGCTAAGAAGCTATCTCTACTATCAATCATCATCTTAACAAAAATGAAGTAAATAGGTACTGAATTTGCATGTAGCACAATTGTACTAAGTACTAACACATGAGCTGTTCATATGTGAAAATATTGTGGAAACCGACTTTACTTGCAAAGCAGGGCATATCACAATAAGAAAAGTTAAGAACATGAAGGATATTGATTCAATAGCTTGAACCTATATATATGGCCCGAAGCATCGCTTTTAGGTTACTGATGTCTGCATGCAACTGAGACAGGAATCTTGCAAGGTCTTCTCCAGCAAACAAATCCTTTGCTGTTGCCATATGCTTAACAAAAACTTCATCCAGTGCAGCAATGTAAGAATCATCCCTTGATTGAGCCTTGTTTACAAGATTGTACATCATGTCGGTAACCTTAGACATTGCAGATACAACTACCAGTTTCCTCTCAGAAGGATCACGAAGGACTATATCAGCAACATTGTGAATTCTCTCAGAGGTCCCCATGCATGTGCCACCAAACTTGTGCACCGACCACATGTCACCTTTTGGAAGGTCAGCAATAGTTTCAGCTTGCTCAACTGAAACAGCTGGGAAGAAATAACGTAACATAGATGCATATATGTCAGGATAAAGAAAGACACAAAAATGTTTTATAAGAAAAAAAATAATGGCGCCAGATAGTAACATATATAAAATTGGAACCTTGGGATTCAATACTTATACAAACAAAAAATAGTTGATCATATACAAACAAAACAAAATCTGGAAGACTAAAGCATAACAGCCTAATCAAAATAATACTTCCAACCTCCAAACGAGATGAAGGTGAACCATGCTGCAACTAGTATTTATCATAACATAGGCAGCAGGTTTCTATATGATTAAATATGACTGAGCAGCAAGAATGAACAACATGAATGTAATGTAATATGCTATGTAACTCCTGAGAGGAATATCTAAAGGTTGTGTTTCCATTTCAGGATCATTGCTATGTTTAGTTTGGTCAATCTTCTGTTACAAGATTGCAACCCCAGCATTTAACCTTTTTCTTCAACTGCATATGGCTTGTTGACTTTCAAAACCAGGAAGTGCCCCATTGGCCCTTTCATTGACAAAATCTTCAACTAAGATTAGTGCTCAACAAATAGTAGCTCTGACTGCTAGCATCTACACTCACGCGATGGGGAAATCAAAATAATGGCCATGCAGGATAGATGTAATACCACCAGCAGTTGGTGCGAGCAAATTCTTCGAAATATCTCTGTGCACAGTTCTTGGAAGGCGGCTGATCCTGAATAGCATAACAGTAGAATTATGTACATCGCTAAAAGTTTGACAATTCCTAGATCCTAACAGCTAACAGATATAACATTATTAAGCTGAAAATAACAAGAGGTGGTATATTGAAAATTGACTACAGGTCCCACATAGTCTCATTGGAGCAAATCATTGAAATGAATATTTCTGTGTACAAGTGTCGGGATACCAAACACATCAATCAATTCCATTCACAACTGGAGCCTACCAACCTTAGTGAGCTCCCACAGGAGCTGTCCTGAGTTTTCTCGCATCGCCAGCACCCCTGGAAGGTCGAGTCCCTGCATTGCTACCAATCAACACCGCAATTTTTAAGGAAAAAAAAAGGTGGACAGAATACAGAGAAAGTGACAAATTCAGCATCTCAAGCCGGAAAAAAAAAAGGTGACAAATTGGAAACTGCGCTCTGAACAGTAGACGACCCATCGGCACCAACAACTCAAGCATCCGCACATCTCCACAAGACACGCAAGTAGAAAACGGAGGCGGGATTGAAGTTGGGGACCCCAGCAGCGAGAAGATGCGAGGACTCTGATCAGATTCTGCCTAGTGGAGGCAAGAGAGGGAGAGGGACATGAGGTTCAGAGGAGAGGAAGGACCTTCCGGCTGCGGCGGGGTGAAGAAGGGGGCGGCGGCGGGCAGAGAAAGCGGCGCCCGGGTGGAGGCTTGCCGCGGCGAGGCTCCTCATGATGACAACGAAAGCGAGCGGGCGCCGGGCGGAAGGGGAGGCGTAGTAGCAGGATTAGAATGGACCCGTGACGTTGGCCTGGTGGCAGTGGCACGCTCATAAACCCTGCTTAACCCTACTTACTGTTTTCTGCTGTGGCCCCTCTCCTTCTCCGTTTTCGCTGATAAATTGCACTGACTTTGTTGGAAAGTTGTGTACTCCCTCCACGTTGTTTTATATCTGTATATCTTATCATATATTCTTATAAAATTAAACCTCGCTACATGTTATATCTCTTTGTGCAAATGTACACATTATTTCCCACTAAATTACCGCACTAGATATCCTATCTCTTGTGAGAGGTGTCCACATCATTTTTGCATTAATAAGTGTCCCACTAAATTGCAACGTATCATCCCATATTAATTAAACAAATATACACATCACCATCTCGTACTTTATTTATATTCTATTAGTTTTTCTTCTATTAGCTTACTAATTATATAAAACAACATGCGAGTCAAATTTATATATATAACAGATTTATTTTAAAGAAAATCCCGCAGCAATGTACAGGGTATACTTCTAGTTTTATATAAGAGCAAGGCTAATAATACAGACGGCTGCTGGCTGTAAGAATCTTTGCAGCTCATCTCTCAGCTGTCCTGTTAGGGCATATAACCGGGGTACCCTAAGGCACGCCTAACAAATCACTCAGGGCAGCCCAGCTGGCCACGGCCTAGCTCCCGTGGCCCATCTCGACCACTCTTCCTCCCCCCCCAAACTGTACGATATATGGCCTGCCTCGACGACCCTCGTCTCTCGACCATGCGGCGCGCGGTTGCCTCGACCACCTCTAGCTCCGACCACCTAGGAAGGACAGGGGGTGGTTGGCAGATTAAATGCACCTGCCTGGACAGGACGCACATGCACCCGCACACTCCTCCAGGAACAGAGAAGGACGGCCGCCCTTCAGACCGCTAGGTCCTAGGGCAGAGCATCACCCCTCGGGTCACACCCTTCTTATGGATAAGACCACTCCTGACCAGGCTACGTCAGGGACGTGGCTTAGCGCCACCTAATCCTTGCTCGATTCGACGGATAGGCGTACGGGCGTACCAATCACGGATATGGATCGCACGATCGGGATCCACGCCACTCCACACTAACCAGATCGGAGAGCCCTCGATCCGACCCTACATGGTCGAGGACAGCGCTCCCACAACCAGGAAGGTAGGCAGTCCGCAGGGGGCAGCCACCCTCTCCATATACCAGCGATGTGACACTCCCACCGGATAACGGGCGCCAGGATGAAGACCATGACACCCACTATACGCCCATGCTACACAGGGCAATAGGTGAACAGCCATGACCCGCACAGTGCCGCAATTGCGCACCATGCCTTGACGTGAGGAACAAGAAGCCCGTGACCATACCTAGACATGCAAGCAGGAGCAAGGACAAGACATGAAGGGCCCACAGACCAAGATCACCAACTTCTCCCTTCCTTCAGGCTCTCGAATTGTCACCCGGCCTCTAGGACTATATAAGGGGAGCCGGTGTAAGGTCGAGATGGCGGACTAGTGGGGGGTAAATAGTCCTTTTCTAAAATTAATCGTGTCGGCTAACCAAAACAAATGCGAAATTAAAACTATCGGTCTAGCCAAGACTACATCCCTCTATCTAAGTTCTCAAGCACATTATAAAAGATCCTAATTTGGCAACAAAGGTGCCGAGCTAGTTAGAGCTCACCTAATCAATTTTAGTAGCAAGGTCACACAAACCTATACAACTAGTACTTTAAGCATCAAGGGAGCTCCTATCCAAACTAGTAAGCAAAAGCACAAAGCTCCTAAGCTCACTAGCAATGCTCAATAACAAAAGGCTACACAAGCCAAATTAGAGAGCGCAAAATACTTAGCTACAGAAACTAAGCAATGTAACTAACAAGGCTACTCAAGCCAAATTAGTTACGCAAGGGAGCTACTTCTATGCTACACAAGCAAGAAGATAACTAGCAAGCTACACAAGCTAACTAATTATAAGAGCAACTAAACAAGCACAATATATGAATAAGTAAACACAAGCTTGTGTAAGGGAAATACAAACCAATGGGATGAACAAGGTTAACACGATGATTTTTATCCCGAGGTTCACTTGGTTGCCACCAAGCTAGTTCTCGTTATGTCGACGGCTCACTTAGTGGTTCGACGGCTAATAGGTGCTTCACAAACCTAGACCACACGTTGGGCGCCTCAAGAACCTACCCACAAGTGAGGGTAGGTCAAAGACACGCTTTACTAGACTTGCTCTTCATGGCTCCCGTGGGACAAGCACAATGCCCCTCATAATCATGTCTCCGGAGCTCCGTGCAATCTTCTCGCGGGCTTCACGATGGAGAGCTCAATCCACTAAGGCATCTAGATGATGGCAATCACCAAGAGTAACAAGAAATCCCTAAATCACAAAGATTTACTAGTGCCACCAAATGCAAATCCCTAATGCACACACTAGGCTATCAATCTCACTCAAATTTGCACCAAGCTTGAGAGGGAGAGAATGGGGAAGAGGTGGATCTTCAATCTCTCATGCATGCCCTCAAAAGGCACTCAATCTCTCATAGAAATCTTAGCTCAAATCACGGGGGAGAGAGGGGAGAGAAGTGTAACACCCCAGTGTTAAGCATTGCATTGGGCATCTGCATTTCATGAGCACAAGTATCATCCAAGCATTCATGAACATGAGCATATAAAATTTCATCTCATTCTTATACATTATCACATGAAATGTTAATTTTATATATATGCTTATGCTTGCAATCATGTATGACCAATGTAAAAAAATGGTTGGGAGGTCATAAAAACACCTTAGACACATCTAGAATGATAAATGGAACAATACTTGTATTCATGACATAGGCCAAATTTGCTTCTAAGTGTTGGTTTCATTTGAAATGTCATTTTCATGATACTAGTTTGACCAAAGTTGAACAGTAGCTTAGAGTATTTGCATGGCTATGTGACCTAAATAAAAGTTGTAGTACTTAACTAGGGTAACAACTTTTATTTTTGGGTCAAGGTCTAATTCAGTGCATAGCATGCTCAAAAATAGCTCACAAGTATCAACAAAATGTTGTTTTGTGACAAGAAATTTTCTAAGTGTTGAAACGGTTTTCAGTTTTAAAGTACCTCACTTTGGAGCAATGTAGTTTGTAAACTAGTGAGAATTAGATTATGGTTCCTAAAATAAAGTTGGAGATCTCACATAGCTCTAAATTTGTTATTAAGGAAGTTTTTGCTAATTCGCCATGGATTAGGAGTTATAGAATCGCTAAGTCACGCTGTCAGACATATTCAAAGGCACCTAAATCGGCGCTACACGCACGCGTCGTGGCCGACCGATCAGATCTCACATAGCTCACACCGGTGTTGGCTTGGCCGGCCAGGCTAGAACGGGCACAAAAGTGCCACGCACTCGTCGCTCGCTCCACTCACTCGCTCTCGCCTTCTCCCGCTCGCTCTGCCTCGCCAAAGCACCGAGCCGAGCTCGTTGTGTGCCACCACAGCTCCGTCGTAGCCGCTCGCTGTCGATGTATCCTCACCGACCGATTCATCTCGGCCACAGCTGCTCTGCCATTACCTCCACCTCCTCGAGCCACCAACATCACCTATCAACCCTAGGTATAGCAGCATTTAGTCTCGTCATAGCCGCCGTCGTCACTGGAGCGTCACCGCATGCCTCCATCTTTCTTGGTCCAGCACCACGCTAGAGTCTACATGCTTAGGCCGAATCTAAGAATGATGCCACCGCTTGACTGTGCCGGAACTAGTCGCCGCTCCACGCGCGGCCACCATGGCCGCCGTGGCACTCAAGCTCGCCGCCACCGAGTTGGTTCACCGTCTCCCTCCTTTCTCTCGTGTCTTAGGTCGAGTAACCCTAGACCTAGCTAGTGGCATGATGGAGACCCACCTTTCGCCGCCATCTAGCCAGAACAGTGAGAGCACCACTGTGCCTTGTGCGTCACCACACGACCATGCACGCGGCCAAGCTCACCGGCGCCACTTCGAACCCTAACCTGCGCCTTGTAGCTTCGCTAGGTCATCACGTGGATGTAGCGAGTCTTGTCTGAGTTCGTCATGGACGAAGCTCATCGGAGCACCACCGCGCATCTCTACCGTCCACCATGGCCACTGTCCAGCCCACTCCGGTGAGTCTCTAGACCAACCAAGCGCACCCATCGATGCGGGACGTCGAGGTGAAGTCGTCGGTGGTGACATCACCGCCGGTGACCTCGCCGGCGATGAGCTATGGCCGGTCAACCACCGTGCTCTATTCTGTGTGACTGACATGTGGGGCCACACTGACCGTGGGGTCCAGTTGTTAGTGTCTCTAGGTGCATGGATCGGGTGCACTTAGCCGTGAAGTCAAATTGAAATGTGATATTCTTGATTTAGTTTTCCAGATTTACATGCAAACTTCAAAATTTCATATCTCGAGCTAGAAGTGTCTAATTTTGGTGAACCAAATTTTGTTGGGTTTCTCATGAAGTGTAGTATTTGATAAGAATATGAAATCTACTGTTTAGGGTATTTTTTTGAGAGAATTAAATTGAGCAAGATAAGTGCTTTTAAAGTAGTTTATATCTTGTAAAATGCATAACTTGAGCTAGAAAGGTGATAAAATTGTGATTCCAATTTTTCTGATCTTGTGTTGACATGCTCTAGCTAGGAAAAATACTAAATCTACAGTAAACATACTTGAAATATGATCTTCCTATTTAATTCTAATTAACTACTAGTTTCTAGTGAATTTAATTAGGGTAATAATACATAACATATGATCATGCAAATTTTTACACAATATTCTTATGCTTGGAGAAATGTAAGAAAAATATTAAATCTATTGTTTGGCACTTTTCACTATACCAAACTATTTTTGCTAAAATAAGCCTATGTAACTTGTCATTTTTGTAGAGGTAGTTATACTTATCCAAATAGCATGAAATTTGTACAATAGACTAT